AGATAAATATTACCTTCTCACCCCATATCCCACATTAATGCAATCACTCAAAAAATTCTCACCAGAAAGCATTCGCGCTATCGCTCGAAACCCAAATATAGACTTACAATCAATAGGAATATACTCAAAATCAGATATTCAACATCACATTAGAACACAACAATTCCAAGAATTATTAACACAAATGGACACAATACAAAGACAATCAATTGACCAAAACTTACGCAAACTTGCCGAAACCGCAGGATTTGCAGACATCTATACGCAAGACTATAGCGGATATTTTAAAGACATTAAAGATTATATATATCTAAACGGTGAAAAATACCGTCCCCAAGATATATCACCTATCAATATTTTTAGCTTTGTTACACTCAAGAATGAGATTCTTGATTTTCTAGGATGGCCCTACTACATCTTAGAAAAACTGACTATTTTATATGCAATGTTTAACTTTATTGGATTTCTTTTTTCACTCTTAAAAGGAATCTATAACACATGTGCTATACACACACAAGTCAATAGACAAGCAAGTGTAGCACGCATACTATTTGCAGGATTTTTTACAATCTTTTCTACATCTATAAACAAAATTCTTTTAGACGCACAAATAAAAGAATATAACACAAAAATAGCAACAAGACAGAACACATACGACGAAGAACATAACAATGTAGACACAACGCCAACAGCACCACAGTTACCACCCCTACCACATAACCATCCATTATCCCTAGTCCCACGTAATTTTCGAAATTTAGCCATAACACATAATCAAAATTTTAGACCAACCATATCACAAAGTCCCATCCAACATATAATGCCACACCACTCACAAGATGAAAATACTTATGAACAAATTATAGAACAACCCCATACCACCGCTTTTCAGTCTCAAAATAATAATTTTTTTAGCCCACGATGAGCCGACAACTTGGATCCCTACAACGATCAAATTCCCACCCAACCAACCTCACCACTCCAATCCCAATAATACCACTTTTTGCTTTTCCGCCACCCGATTTCCCATCCAGTAATGTAACATCCGGCATGAATTCCGATACTAATTCACACATCTCAGTTTTATACTCCATCTCACAACTCAATAACCCGAATATTGAAACCCCCGATGAATTTGCCGACTCTGAACCATCTCCATCAAATAATTTTCACACCAATTCCTTAAATTTTTCCCAACCCCCTTTTCAACCCATACTGCCAAATAACCCTGACCCAACCAATTCTACACCCTCTTATGCTTCCCAAGTCACTCCAACCTACTCCTCACTTCACTCAGACCAATCATCTCATTCTCCAGACACCCCCCGAATCTCCCCAGAACTAGATAATTTCATTACCCTACAACAACAACCCTATCACCTTGACACCCCAACCATAAACCAAATCTCATCCACAATAGATTCATCCAACCCTCCTACCCCTACACCCTCTTCAATTTATACTGAATCATTAGCACCATCATCCACATCTACTGAATCTTCACTCAGCACTAATAGAGCTTACCGCACTTTTAAAAGAAAGTTCCCCAACCATCCTTTCCCAGCGAAACCAGGAACAGCCCGTGAATATATCAACCATCCAAAACACACTAACACAAAAGAATTTTTAGCTATCACCTTACCCTCATTTCCACAATACACCTTAAAGACCCCTCACGACACTAACGAAACACTTAACTTTGTAGACGAACACGTTTTAATGCCTACCCTTCCATGGACCTCATATTATCATTTTACTAATCCCCTTTGCTTTCCTTTATCTAACACTCACATCGATATAGAACGAAATAAGGACATGCTATATCGACTCACTACACCACTAACACCTAGACAATTTACTTACATTGGATATAAAAAATCACTAAAAACACACACTGCACCCCGAGCTAATGAATATACACTAGAATATTACGATCATAACATCATCAGAACTAACCAAGATCAATTCTTAGACGACGATCGCTTCGCTAACCCACAAATCACCGAGAAATTTTTCATTAAAACACCATATGTATTTACACTAAATATCTTCGATCGCAAGTTTGACCACATTATTTCAGAAGCACTAACAGACACACAAGCCTACGAAAGTTTTAAAGAACGCTTCCAAATATTTTCACTAACCTTTCATTTCCTTGCACCACATGAAAGAGATTTGCACTGCTCACACGATATTATGTTGCGCACTAAACAAACACACACATATACTTATTATCGTTTCATCCAAAATCACTTTGACCTACACACTCCCTCCAGACAACCACACCATCGTTTTCAATTCATCAATTCCAAATACACCTCACCATTCTTTCTTAACTTCACATATTGCATTAAAGATACTAACCTTCATGGTATTCTTCGAAATTATGATCCCATAACCCAAATGTATATTTTTTGTCCCATCACCAAGACCTTCAACGCAGAAGAATCCCGACCCTTCCTTATCCCACACGAGTTTGTACAACCTATAGAAATCCCCATTTTAGAATTCATCCATAACACTAAATTCAATCACAAATTATATAATCTAATCCAAAACACACCTTATGAATTTGCAGTTGGCACTGAAGAACTAACCACCATTAAAGCACTTCAATTGCTTTGGCCACTACTTCAAACTAAAAATATCATCCGCATTTTAGCTAAATTACTAACAACTTCAGATCTCATCCACGACATCTTCCCCCACGGTTTCTTCCCCGACGACTAACAGATAAGTATGAATTATACATATTACTAACTAATTAAAATATTAGAAACTCACCATTCTTTATCCATGTTTTCTTTAGAATTTTAGCCTTCATCCAACAATCATCTGAAAAATTCACAAAAGAAAAATAAAAAATAGCAAACTTCTTCAAAACTGTTTAAAACCCTATTAAATTTTTGCACCAACAATTAAATAAATATAATACCAATGCAGTAATTTAATTTATAAATTTTTCCCCCACAAGCAGTAAATCTAAAAATGATGAAAATTTGTAACTTAATTTTCCCCAACAACTAGCAGTAAAATTAAAAATTCTATGTAATAAATTGATAAAACGAAAATGCAGTACTAACCTTTTGATATTTCCATTCATTCGCAGGAACATTCTATCCACACTCGCACAGCTCGCCCACGAAGAATTGTTTAAATTAATGAATTTCAGTTCCAAGCTTTCACACTCGATAACTCTAACACAAGATAACACGTTTCAAACTTTCCTTTAACCCGGTTGGAAAGGAATTATACACTAAACAACACTAACCAACGCAGCTTACTAAACACCACAAATCATAGAATAACAGCATGACTAAGAAAAGGAAACCAACGGTACCCAAACCGGATTAACCCAGTTTAAAACTGGATAATTTATTCTTTTGAAGACTATTATAAAGTCTAAGAAAGAAATAATAAAACACAAAAAAGTCGAAAGACAAACCCATACCTCAAACAATTTGATTTTTGAAAAAGGACACAACCAACAAGACATAAGAAAAACCACAACAAACCCAACATAAAACGTTGTCACATAACAGGACCTCTCACAAAAACCGCATGCAATCATACTCCCACTCCTGGCCTAACCCACCAGGAAGGACGTCCTGAGCATGCTCTATAGACGGCCTAACCCACCGCGCTACATTCACGCTTTGTGACACACACTCCTATTTTTAATAAGAGCTACTCAAGGGTGAGTAACTCTTCAAAATAACTGAACTAAAACAAAAAGCTTTTGTGAAAACAACTAACTAAAATCATAATTAAAAAATATTAAACTAATAAAAGTTTTATAAAATGTAAATTACATTATGCAATACATAGATCAGAATACAACACCAAGGACGAACATCCAAAGACAAAACGACCCTACTACACTCGAGAAAGAATGGCCAACTACAATCAATATGCCACTCACAATCACAACTCAAAGGATTTAGAGTACGACTTGACTTCGCAGAAAAGGACTTCATTGAACTAGACCAATGACCACCTCGATGTTCAAGTATACGTACAGATCCGAGTAACCAGGCATCCCCTCCACGCACAATCTCCACGCCATTTCCAGACAAGATCAAAACACAAAGAAGTTCTCATCAATGAAACAGAAAAACCTGACATAGCCAACCATTCTGAAATCAGATTTGAGTTTGTTGCGAAAACCCAGTCGTTGTCTTGAAGAAGACACAACGATTGAATCTGGGACTTCTCTAATAAGAAAACCCAGAAGAAATAAGATGTTCGCCAAATACCAACGTCCATCATCCATCCTTTGAATTGCAGAAAGACTATTCTAAAAAACTCTGTAAAACCCGGATGGGTGGAACCTGATCTAAACTACATTTTATGATTGGATAAATTAGATATTTTACCAATGTAAAGTATTTAATATTAACCAATCATGATCCATCTGACTAACAATCCACTTATTTGTAAGTGCTGAAATTACTTGTAATTTCAGCACCAGAGAGATTTGAATTTAACTTAGAAGTTAGTTGAACTCTCCCGAGTACTTCAGCAGCCGCAATAAACCAGTATACCCTAGATCTATTGAGCCTAGCAGAGACTAGTTAAACAACCTGAGACTAGATAGTATAAGAGTAAGATTAGGATCGGTATTAGACTAAGAAGTTGCACGAATCTATCCGGCCGAAAATAAGATAGCGTGACGAGCAGACGGTGTACCCTATCCGAAATTACTCTATGAGTTATACACTTCGGTCATAACTCACTACTTGCAATGAAGTCTTTCTTGCCATTGCTGGTATGTGTTCAGCTTGATATTATACTTTGACGACCCTTGAATGTCAATTACTAGTTCAAATTTTTTTTACAATGATGCAGAATAGGTTGCTGTGCAAATACATCTACAACTTGCTGAATTGAGTTCATACAGTATACCAAGATTCTGCAACAAAAATAACATCTCTAATTGAGGAATTCCTTTCGCAAACTCGAAGTTTTACGGTTTTATGATGCAATTAATTGCAATTTAGGATAAATTAGAGAAAGGAGATCTGCATGACTTCCCTCTTAACCCTGGGTCTAAGACCGTAGACCCTACTGTTGTCCCTCAAACTGAGAAAAAAAACAATGAAAAAAGAGTGGGTAATGTAAGTCAGGCTAAACTAAACATTATCAACCTCACTTCTATAACAACCATAACCAGCCCAATCATACTGGCACAAAAAATCATCGAATTAACTTGCATTGACAATTATTCTAATAGATTCCATTAAATGACTAGTGTTCTACCTGCCTTTTCCTTTGTTTTCGGGGCCTAGGAAATTAGACGACAACTAAATTAGAGGACCGTAATAAAACGGTATTTAGACGATAACGCTTTGTGAATTTAGACGATTAAAAACTGGGCTAACAATATTTTTTGTTTAGAATGAAGTTAAACAAAAAGAGTATATGACGCAAAACTGATCAAAATTATAACCGTAAGTTAATTATAATAATTAAATCGAAAAAGTAAATAAACTTTCTTGAAATGCGTAAATTATAGAAATGCGACATTAATTACCTGATTTGTGGTTGGACGATCAGTATATACTCAACCAAAAGTATATTTAAGTCGGTAAACAAATTTCACGCAATTTGCACACAAGTTATTGTCAAAATTGGGCAACCAGTATTTATTTAGCCAAAAGATCATTTAAGTCTGTAAACAAATTTTACGCATGTTATTGTCTAAAGTCAGTTATTTTCTAATTTGTGTGTCGTCTAATTTGCGTGTCGTCTAATTTCCTAAAACCCACCTTTGCGATTAGGAATGTTATTGTGATCAAATTCGAAATTTTTTGAACGTGAAAACAAACAACTTCGAACATGAAAACAATTCGAACGTGAGAGGTTAATTGCTTCATCATAAGTTCGGATCCAGTGACGTTTTGACAAATCCAGTCCTTTAGCCTAGAGGTAAAACCCATGCTGGCGACAAAAAAGGCAATGGTTTCAATTCTGACCGGGAGCCGATTGTTTTAAATTTAAAAAAACTTCTGGGGTGAATTTAATTATCTGGCTGTCGTTTTTCTGCTTATTTTTATAGGCTTAGACTTATAATCGCAAAGCGTGGACTTTTCTTTTGATTTTTGTTTTTTATTGAAATTAGTTTTTCTTCGTTCTTATAATTTGTAAAATGTAAGACTTATGGTTAAGCTCACGATTAGAAGTATAGACTACTTCCAGATTTACAACTAGTTACACAAAATCAACAGTTGGCGTATGTCTTTTGATGGAATCTCTAGAATCTCTGGCCAACAGATATTTTTTGAGCATATCTGCATTTTGAGTAGCCGTTCTAATAATTTTTCCAAAATACCAAAGCTTAATTTCCATATTTTGCAGCGGAATAATAAACAGTTAACTTTAATCAAAACAGTTTCAAAAAGAAAACATTTTTTTATTCTTCAACACTTTTTACAAATCTCTGTTGGTCATTTTTTCATACTAATTATTCTTGAGCTGCAACTGACTGAACATCCTTCATAGTTTTCAGCAGCGCGAATTCGTTGGACTTATGACTAATCAGTCTTGATTATTGATAACTGATACATCTGTCTCGTGGTAACTTTGAAGTTTTGATAATTATGATCAGTCCTTGCGTGTTTGTTTGTGATATAGGATGTGTTGCGGGAAGGTGTATTATACAAGAAGGTTGAGACTGAGCACTCCTCGAGATCCCTCCTCTCCTGGTCTGGACTCAGGCAGCAACAGGGCAAGTGTTTCGTACAACTCACAGAAAGGGCACTCTTGTTCTTCAAGGACAGAAAACATGCTCAGACACAACAGAACAGTTATTCTTCCCAAGTATGTATTCTAAAATACTAAATGTCGACCTTCATGCCTAATTCATTTCTGGCACTGTCGATTTTTAGTCGCTAAAACTTGCTCGCATCGTGCAGTTCTGAAGTTTGTTATGGTTAATGGCTGCTGCTACTGCTGATATAAAAGATGAATTTTCAATTCTGTGGCTTTATCACGAACTCATGGTTTCTGTCAAGCGCAAGATTTTCAAAGTGCAGCTGGAGATCAAATGATTGTTGACTTGGATATAAGTCTCCTGTGAGTTGTTGCTAGCTGCTCATATCTTTATAGGCATCTGCTGGAGGCAGTGGCGTGGCCCAGAGTAGGCCTGAGCACAGCTTCGAGTTGTTCGCCTCCAACATCGAGTGGCGAAGGGGCAAAAAGAATACGTTCCAGTTGTGGTGCGACTTCATGCCACAGAACAAGGTTCCGCTTACTGTCACATATTTTCCACTGAAGAAAACTTTCCATCTGTTCTGCAAAATGCCTGAACTGGTGTGGCGTTTGTTTGGTTCGTTTTCCAAAAACGTCCATTTGTTGCTACTTAACCATAAATTAGTCACTTGTCCAATTAATCGAAATCGATAACCCGCAGAAAAAAGCTAGTTCTTGATTCAAAAAAGCACTCGCTACTAAAGGTTTTCGTATAAAGGTTAATGACAAATAGGTAAACATATAGCTGGAGTTACCTAAGGGTGAATTAACGTCATTGAAGGTGCTACTGAAATCTTCCAATCCGTACGACGCTGTACAATGGTATGATGCCATCAACACAGCCATTGTGAATCTGAAGACAGGCGTGACCAAGATGGAAAACGACTTCGACCAGGCATCTTTAATGACTGCTGCGATAGAGGGCAGCTCAAGTGGCACTCTGAATCGCTCTGATTTGGCCAACGGGCAACAGCGCTACAAAAAAAACTATTCCGGAAACTTCTTTTCCGGACCGGACAAAGTTGTCAACAGGAAAAGCTATCGCACGCAGGAGTCAACATCTAGTCTAGCCAGCAGCGGGGGCTCCCAGACTACTCTAGGGTCAGTTGGGGGAATGCGCAACTGTCTGGCTCAACTTCTCAAGTCAAGGCCATCTGTGGATGCTCTAAAGAAGAAGGGAATTCTCAAGTCAGGTAACAGCTGAACACCTGCTGCTGCAATGTATAAATAAACCGATTAAAGATAGAACTGTCTGAGAATAAAATTATGTAGACATGGTTAACTGGCTAGACTTTTTGTCAGGTGGCCTGTTGTCTTTATAACTACTGGCAGCTTTTGCCGCCTTATAATAACCACCTTTGCGATAATCAAGGGTATTATAACCGGGTACTAAATTTTTTCCGCGTGAAACCTTTTTTAAATTGTTGTTGTATTGTACTTTTTTTTTGGGCGTAGAGTGTCCAGGGCGTAAATTTTCCACAGTCATATCCTGACAGAAAGCTCTCCGCTGCTTCCTGTTTGCCAAGTCTCTGCATCACTCGAACCACGCACTCGCCCATGTCTTAATTGTGAATTTGGGCGGTTTCACATGAACTTTAATTTCTTCTCGGACTATTTTGCGCCAAGACTTTCTGCTGCCACCTGGAGTTCGTCGCCAGACCTCTCCTTTTCTCGGCCAGCATCCGAGTGGTCCAAGCGAAGTATATTACCGAGGCACTTTGAGTTGTATAGTCAAGGCTATGCTTTTATCCAGTTTTGCTTTCGTCCTGAAGTCTGATGTTTGTAGGCTGTACCCATTGTGGAGAATCTTTTGTAAGCACCAAATTTCAAAGACATCCATTTGTTTGATATCAGATTCTTTGATGGGCCAAGGTTCAGCTCCAGTAAGCAAAACGCTTTGACGCAGGCTTTGTAGATTTTGGCTTCAGTGATTTCGAGAATTTCCCTTTGATTCCAAATATGCTTTGTTGTTAAAATTTCCGGCTGCCTCTCTTATCCGGGAAATTCAAAGTGCTTTTAGGCCATATTTTTTCTTCGTTGAAATTGGGAATGACGTTTTTTTTTCTAAAAACAAGTTAGTATTTTTTCTGTTTCCTGGAGTGCATTACTCTTTTTCAAGTGTCTGTTGGCTTTGTTTTCGTTTCTCACTGTTGTGTATAAAATTTCTGAAGAATGATTTGGAAATTTCGGCCGCTTTTTATTGAACGAAACTTCATTTTTTGTCTTATTATTTCAGCTTTCCGAACCTTTTCTTCTAGCTTAACTCGCAAATAAAAGTGTTCATTTAAAGTGTTCAGTTGTTTGGCTGCACTTTTACTGTAATCACAATCTGTGGCATCGGAAATTTCATAGCATCTGTTCTCTGCTGTATTTGAGTCTAGTGTTTGTGATTTATTAAGCGTCCGTGGCCGAGTAGTTAGCGAGTGAGACTCATAATCTCTTAGTTGCAGATCGAATCCGAGACGTAGCCAAAATTATTTATTTCGAGGCTTATTTCTACCTCTTCTTAATGCACTTTTTAGAGCTGCTTTTTGTCGTTTTCTCGCTAGTTTTTGTTGAGCATATTAGTATTTAAAGTATCTGGCCTAATCGAAATTTGTTTTTTATGTTGGTTTTAATTTTACCGATTTGATTTGTTGAAACTTCATTTTCTTTGGTTGTTTTCCCGGCTTAATATGTTTTGGTTTATTTTTTATTGGCGTCTTTTTGCGTCATTTGAGGACCAAGAGAAGTTTTTGTGCGTGTGTGTGGTCTGAGTGCAAAAAGGAGTTGAATTTATTTTTCATTAATTTCGAATTTTTGGCTTGGTAACTATAATTCAAATTCAATCAGTCAACCTCAGCTTCGCATCTGGGTAATAATAATTTCAGTGTCTGTTATTCATTATAATATATTTTGACGAAAGTTGACGAAGTTTATTACATATATCACATCTTAACTCCTGCGATAAGCAAGGCTATTGCAATCGGGTTATAGACTTCTTTCCCTTAATGTTCTCTTAAAAAGATGTTCACAGGTTGACTCAAATTGGTAGTTATCTCCAAATCTGTATTTTTGTCAACTAGCAGACAATATTTGAGCACCTCTATAACTTAAATGACTGTACTATTTGATCTCTCTCTTTTAATTTAGTTATGATTTACCAACTCGGTTTGTTGAAATTTCAAGTTTTTTTTCATTCTTTTTCGGCTTAATAGGTTTCGTCTTACACTAGATTGGGTTTGTGTCCTCGTTTTGCGTCGTATGAGCTAATAATAATTGTAAGTGTTTTCGTGTTTTGTAGGAGGGACTCTATATTTATACTGCGAACTTTAGTGACCTACTTAAGTTACCTTAAAGAATTTAGTACGACCTATCTTTTTTTCCAACCTAAGTTGCAAATATTGGCGCTACTATTGGTGGCACCCTTACCGTTTTTCGATAGCACATGTTTTGACATTTGATTGATAATAACTTAGTACAATTGATCCCTTTGTAACTCATCAAATGAACGAAAAACTGTTTGTTTCAAACAATAGTCCAATCATAAAAACTCGCTATCAGCAATTTTCAAACTCAATATATCTTGCAACTTTCTGATGTGTACTTAGTTTGTCGATTTGTCTTAAATGTACTTGTTTACTCCTAATTAGTTACATGCAGAATTAATGTGGATGCCTTCAGTTTGTTATATTCCAAATAATTACATACAAAATTGTGTCTATTTACAGTAGCGAGCTTGAGAGCGTTAGTGTATTAGTACGAACCTTCTTTTTTTTCTTGGCTAGCTCGCAAATAAAAATGTTCATTTAAAGTTTTCGGTTATTTGGCGGCACTTTTTCTGTAATCACGATCTGTAGCATCGGAAATTTCATAGCATCTGTTCTCTGCTGTATTTGTGTCTAGTGTTTGTGATTTATTAAGCGTCCGTGGCTGAGTGATTAGCGAGTGAGACTCATAATCTTTTAGTCGCAGTTTTGTTGCAGATCGAATCCGAGACGTAGCCAAATTTTATTTTTTTTCGAGTCTTATTTCTACTCTTTTTCATTGTACTTTTTAGAGCTGCTTTTTGTCGTGTTCTCGCTTATGTTTGCAAAGCGAAGCTTCGCATCTGTGAGCAAAGCTATTGATGAAAATTTATTCGAGCCCATTTTTTATTTATGTTTCACGGAACTCGGAATATTTTTCTTTTATAGGAAAGAGATTATTGTAGACGTCTGTTTTTACACAAGCATAGCTTGTGTTATAGTTTGAACTATTTTTTTTCCAACCGAAGTCGGAAATATTCTTGCGACGCAAATATTGTTGCGGCAAAATGTGTTCTTCTTGAAAGTGTTCATCTTGATCAAAAACCAGCTATTAAGTACAGCCATTGCTAAGGATTTTAACACAGCCTGTTATATAACAAATTCCTGTTTGATAAAAAAAGTATTATGACAATGTATGGGATCGGTTTATTTAGACGCTTTGAAAAATTTTGGTTTTTCTCAACTTCTCTACCGAATTTCAAAAAGAGTGGTACTAATGGCGATCCTGCCATTCCCCTGTTTGCCTGCATACTTGCATACTCCCCCAGTCTCTTTCTACTTTACCCCACTTTCTGCAGCCGTAGAAAAAGTGTGTGGGGGAATTTTTGACCCCAATTTTTGTATTTTTTTTTGTATTTTCTCGGAAACTACCCGCCCAAACTGAGATTTTGGTTTCAATGGATAGAACGGGTGGCTGTAGGAAGCTCCCCTGCAAAAGCGGCTATGCTCAATTGTTTTTGAATAATTTGTTATGGCCCTCAAAATAGTCAATTTTTTTGATTTTTTGACCATGTTTTGAAACTTTACACTTCTCAAAAACTACCCTCCCAAATCTGAGATTTGACTTTCAATCGAATGAAGGGGTTGTGCAGAGCTCCTCTGCGTTAGCGGTTACGCTCAACTTTTTTCACACAGAAAGTTTTGATCCTCAGAAAAGTCAAACTTACGGTTTTTCTTAACGTTTTTTGAAACTTTTCGATTTTCTCAAAAAACTACACTCCGAAATCTGAAGCTTTGGTTTCAATGACTAGAAAGTGTTACCAAACCTCCGCTGCTCAATTGTTAACGCCTAATTTTTTTACACAAAAAGCTATGACCCTCCGAAAAGTCAAGTCTTTGATTTTTTGACCGTTTTATCAAACTTTTTTATTTTTTTTCTCGAAAACTACCCTCCCAAATCTGATGCTTCGGTTTTAATGAGTAGATTGGTTTGGGGGAAGCTCCGCGGCATAAAAAATAACGCCTAAATTTTTTACATAAAAAGTTATGACCCTCCGAATCGAAAAAACAAATTTTCGATTTTTCTTACCGTTTTTTGAAACTTCGATTTTTCTCAAAAAACTACTCATACAAATATAAGGTTGTAGTTTCAATTAGTAGAATGGGTTACGGGAAGCTCCGCTGCATAATTGATAACGCCTAAATATTTTTACACTAAAAGTTATGACCCTCCAAAAAGTCAAATTTTCGATTTTTTGACCGTTTTATCAAACTTTTCGAGCTTTCTCGAAAACTACTCTCCCAAGTCTGATGTTTTAGTTTTAATGAGTAGATTGGGTTGTGGGAAGCTCCGCTGGCTGCGTGAATAATTTCGCCTGAATTTTTTTTACACAAAAAATTTTGACCATCAGAAAAGTCAAATGTTTAATTTTTGACAGTTTTTTCTAAATTTTTCCAGTTTTCTCGAAAACTACCCTCTCAAATCTCACGTTTTGGTTTCAGTGAGTAAAATGGGTTTTGGGAAGCTCCGCTACGTAAACGATTACGCCTCAATTGTTTTACGCAAAAAAGTTATGGCCTTCAGAAAATTCAATGTTTTGATTTCTTTTCCGTTTTGAACTTTTGACTTCTCGAAAACAACTGGATATGTAGTGTAGAGGTGGGGATGGAGACTCGCAACAAAATGAGAGGGTGCGAACCTGGGTAGGGTCGGATGTTTTTATGAACTTTTTCGTATACTAGTTAAAATGCGTCCGCTCTATAAAATGAGGCATATTAGTTGGTAATTTTTTTTTCAAACTGACTGGTACTGCTAATGCGTCATAATTTGCTTGCGTCACTTAGCAATTATGTAGACTCATAATTGGCGTGCGTCACTTGAGAATTTTTGTAGACTCGAAGGTTCACTCATTCAGTTTTCAGGTTTTCCCGGTCGCCTTATCGGTCATATTTTTGCTTGTGTATGC